TACATGGCATATGACAGGTTTTTTGGGCTGATTTTGAAAATACATTAAAATATCAAATCAATTCCAAAAATAGTAAAACTTTGGAAAAAGTTTCTAAATGATAAAACAAACATGTTTGAAAAGGATTTTTTAGAAAATTAATTTTTGTTTGTGAAAACTCCCTGTTTTTGAAAAGTGTTTAAAAAACCTGTTTTTCGTGAACATGAAAATTGAGATATGACTTGTAAATACGTATATATATAAACATGAAATAAAAACTATTGTAACAAAGTTTGATGAAAAATTATTTATATGATAGAAAACGTCAAATCTGTGTTAAGTGTTCCTATATTGAGCTTGAATATAAACATACAATATATGTAAGCAAGCTAAACTTATACCTAGGTGAATGCACATACATGAACTTGAATCTTTAACGCTTGATTATCGTGTGTTGAATTACCTGTAAAGAGAATAACAAAAACAACAAAAACTAGAGAATAGATTAGTGATAAATTGTTTGATAAATCATCATCAAAACTATAGGGCCAACACTTGTATCATACCTTTAATCTATGTGCTTGTACCCGTACTTTTTGTATTTGATTCCACTAGAGAGATATTACTGTGATGGTGAAACATGTTGTTAGGTGCATGACAGGTTTGACATCATTGAGTTCACCTTAGACTGTAGCCTTATGTGAAACCAGGGGCATCACAGATATCTACTAACTCTACTTACTTCTTGAGCAATATCTAGCCTAGTAACACAACATTGCATATATAAGATTACCTACAACAGAAACGTACGTGCATCACTTCATTCTTTCTAACTCCTTATTTATATGATGTGACATTTTATTAGAAAGAAAGACTCTATATACAGAATAAATAACTCACTCTAAATACAAAATAAATAACTCTCTTCTTTATTGACGCTATCTTATTAATATAAGTAGACTGGGATAATGTTATTAACCTGATAGTTATATCTATATAGAGTTTAGTCCCAAATTTTATGATGCCTCACCAAATCTTTCATAAAGAATTTGTCAGACAACTATAATTCAATAGTTGATATATAACATTGCGACATTATTCAAATTGTTCAGAAGTATTTGATAAAAGTTACATTTTAGTTAGAATTATTTGATAACATCTTTCATGAAGAACGTGTTAAACAATAATAATTTTTATATTTTTAAAGACTACTTGGAGGTTATTGTAAAATTTGAATAATAGGTGATAGTCTCAAGTTATTAAAAAGGGTTGATTGAAGACTTTAGATTTTAGGGTGTTTTTTAATTTTTTTTAACTTTTTTCACGGTGTTTACAATAACTTTAGATGTTTGAAAATCTATAAAATTAATTTTTTGGGTGTTGCATGTAATTGCAGATTGTTCATGGAATTGTTTGATTTTTTTTTTTGACTTTCAGGTTGCTTTCTTATATTTTTTAGATTTTTTGACATATTTAAAAATAAATTTTTTTCTTTTTCAAGGGAGTTTTGTAATTTTTTTAACTTTTAGGGCATTGTTTATAATTTCAAGTTGTTTAAGGGATTGTCAAAGTTTTCATATTTTAGGGTGTTTTTTATAATTTTGGACATTTCGTTGAGGAGGTTGTTAGTAATATTTAGAATTTAGGGTTTTGCCTGTAATTTCATGTTGTTCAGAAGATTGTTCGATAATTTTATATTTTAGAGTTTATTATAACTTTTAGATTTTCATGGTGTTTTTATAACTTTTGAGTTTTTACATGCGGTCCTGATATTTGTGATTTTTAGCATTTTCAAAGGGCGATTTTTAGTTTGTAGTTGTATAATATGTTGTTTATTTTTGAAGTTTTTAGGATTTTTTTGGAAATTTTAATTTTTAAGAGGTTGTTTGTAATTTTCTGATTTAAGGGTACTTTGTATAATTTTTAGATTTTTAACAACACTTTTTATAGCTTTTGGATTTTATGAACTAATTAAAAGTATTTCTATTATTTACGATATGATCACAAGTAATATATTATAGATCCATTTAAATGGTTTTATTAATAGGATAGAATTATAATGTGATGTCTAAAAAGATTAAGGATAATACTATTCTTTTAAAAGATGTATAATTTTATGATATTTTCTGCTAAATAATTTATATCGCGTACTTAGCACGTTGCACTCCAATCCACTGTTACTAAAATCACTTGTGCCGGTTTAGAGCCCTAGGAACGGGGTAAAAGTGGACCTAAATGTAATGCAAATTTAATATAAAACTTAGACGACTTTGAAAACTAATTTAAAAATAGGGAAAATGCTTCCAGCCCCCCAAAAGCTAAGGAAACATGCTTCCCACCCCTAAGACTTTGTCAACGGGTGTTTTACCCCCAAAAATAAAGATTCTGTTCTCTGAGCCCCTAAAACACAACACCCAAGACATTAAAATATGTGAAGACCATAATACCCTTTTCTCTCTCTTTCTTTTTTTATTAAAATATGATGAGCATTATTTTATTATTTTCGTTTTCTCTCTCTCTCTCTATCATGAAGTATTGAGATGATAGTTGAAATGATTGATGAAGATTATTTTATTATTTTTGTTTTTTATTATTTTGGTTGTTTGTATTGGGAGATTGTTAAAGTTATGGGTTAATTGTTAAGGTTACGAATTAATTGTTAATGTTACGAGTCAATTGTTAAGGTTATGAATCCTCTCTCTCTCTCTCCTTCTTTTTTTTATTAAAATATGATGATGATTATTTTATTATTTCCGTTTTCTCTCTCTCTTTATCATGAAGTATTGAGATGATAGTTGAAATGATTGATGAGGATTATTTTATTATTTTTGTTTTTTTATTATTTTGGTTGTTTGTATTGGGATATTGTTAAAGTTACGGGTTAATTGTTAAAGTTACGAATTAATTGTTAATGTTACAGGTCAATTGTTAAGGTTATGAATTCTCTCTCTCTCTCTCTCTCTCTCTCTCTTTCTCTCTCTCTATCATGATGTTTCTTTGATGATATTGAAATGATTAAAGATGATTATTATTTTATTATTTTAGTTTTTTATTCTTTTTGTATTTTTAGAATATTCGTTGTTAAGGATAATGGTTGGTTGTAATGGTTATGCATTGATTGTTAAGGTTACGGGTTTATTGTTAAGGTTATGAGTTTGTTGTGTAGGTTACGGATTTGTTGTTAAGGTTACGTGCTTAATTGTTAAGGTTACGGGTTTAATTGTTAAGGTTACGGGTTATTAATTGTTAATGTTATGGTTTAATTGTTAAGGTTACAGGTTTAATTAAGGTTATGAGTTTAATTGTTACGGTTACGGGTTTAATTGTTAAGGTTACAGGTTTAATTGTTAAAGTTACGGGTCAATTGTTAAGGTTATGGATCCCTTCTCTCTCTCTCCCTCGTAACCTTAACAATTAAACCCGTAACCTTAACAATTAAACACATAACCTTAACAATTAAACACGTAACCTTAACAATTAAGCCCGTAACCTTAACAACAAATCCGTAACCTACACAACAAACCCATAACCTTAACAACAAACCCTTAACCTTAACAACCAACCCGTAACCTTAACAATCAATGCATAACCTTTACAACCAACCATTATCCTTAACAACGAATATTCTAAAAATACAAAAAGAATAAAAAACAAAAATAATTAAAATAATAATCCTCTTTAATCATTTCAATATCATCAAAAAAACATCATGATAGAGAGAGAGAGAGAGAGAGAGAGAGGATTCATAACCTTAACAATTAACCCGTAACATTAACAATTAATTCGTAACCTTAACAATTAACCCGTAACTTTAACAATCTCCCAATACAAACAACCAAAATAATAAAAAACAAATTAACAACCTCCCAATACAAACAACCAAAATAATAAAAACGAAAATAATAAAATAATCCCCATCAATCATTTCAACTATCATCTCAATACTTCATGATAAAGAGAGAGAGAAAACGAAAATAATAAAATAATCCTCATTATATTTTAATAAAAAAAAAGGAGAGAGAGAGAGAGGATTCATAACCTTAACAATTGACCCGTAACATTAACAATTAATTTGTAACCTTAACAATTAACCCATAACTTTAACAATCTCCCAATACAAACAACCAAAATAATAAAAAACGAAAATAATAAAATAATCCTCATCAATCATTTCAACTATCATCTCAATACTTCATGATAAAGAGAGAGAGAAAACAAAAATATAAAATAATCCTCATTATATTTTAATAAAAACAGAAGGAGAGAGAGAGGATTCATAACCTTGACAATTAACCCGTAACATTAATAATTAATTTGTAACATTAACAATTAACTCATAACTTTAACAATCTCCCAATACAAACAACCAAAATAATAAAAAACAAAAATAATAAAATAATCCTCATCAATCATTTCAACTATCATCTCAATACTTCATGATAAAGAGAGAGAGAAAACGAAAATAATAAAATAATCCTCATCATATTTTAATAAAAAAAGAAAGAGAGAGAGAAGGGTATTATGGTCTTCACATATTTTAATGTCTTGAGTTTTGTGTTTTGGGGGCTCAGAGAACAGAATCTTTATTTTTGGGGATAAAACACCCGTTGACAAAGTCTTAGGGGTGCGAAGCATATTTCCTTAGCTTTTGGGGGCTGGAAGCATTTTTCCCTAAAAAATATTGAAGAAGTAAGGGGCCAATATATATATAAAAAAAAATCCGATCGAAATAGTTTCCAGCGGTCCGCGTCCCGTCTCCGCCTCCTCGCTCCTCTCCCACAAATTCTCCCTGATCTTCTCCCTTCGCTCCCAACCATGCAACCCCCTCAATCCCCCCGCGCCAGACCCCTCCCCCCTCGCCCCCGCCTCCGGCGATGCTGACCTCGCTGGGCTTCTCCTCCTCTCCTCCTCGCCTTCGCCCGCCGGCCTCCCTGCCCCCTCTCTCCACGTCCCCAACCGCCTCCGCCCCCCCGTTGCAGCCCGCTTCATCCTCGACCCCGCGCGACGAGCTCCTCAAGTGGAACCGCATCTTCCTCGTCTCCTGCCTTCATCGCCCTCTTCCTCGACCCCCTCTACTTCTACCTCCTCTACATCGGCGGCGACGTCTGCATGGTCATCGACCTCAAGATCGGCGTCACCGTCACCGTCTTCAGAACCATCACCGACTTCTTCTACCTCTTCCACCTCGTCCTCAAGTTCCACACCGCCTTCGTCGCCCCCTCCTCCCGCGTGTTCGGCCGCGGGGAGCTCGTCCGCGACCCGTACAAGATCGCCATGCGCTACATCAGGAAGGATTTCATCTTCGACCTCGTCGCCACGCTCCCCATACCCCAGGTCATCAACGATCGACGAGTCTAAAAGCTTCTCAGATAAATTCCAACGAGGGTCTCATTATCATCATCATCATCATCATCATTTTCTCACAAATGCAGGCTTGTCTTTGCAGTTTGTGATATGGGGTGTGATCCCGGCGGTGAGCAACAGTTCGAACCACAGCAACAACACCCTCTGCATGCTCGTGCTATTCCAGTACATCCCGAGGCTGTTGCTCATCTTTCCTCTCAACGCGCGGATCGTCAAGGCCAACGGAGTCGTCACCAAGACCGCCTGGGCTGGAGCTGCCTATAATCTCCTCCTTTATATGCTCGCTAGCCATGTAAAAATATTATGATTCCGCGCTGTGGCTGCGTATATTTTCTCGAGAGGAGCTGTAAAAGATTCTTGACGGATGACTGTCATTCCTCTCTGCAGGCGCTGGGGTCTCTATGGTACCTTTTGTCGATGGAACGGCAATATCAGTGCTGGCACATAGAGTGTGGAAAAGAGAACGGCACGATGAACACACCAAAGTGCGACCTTACTTTTCTAGATTGCAATAGGAGGGACCTACCTGAACGGAAAGTCTGGCTGAACTCGACCAAATTGTTGCACAATTGCAATGCGCAGAGCGACGATGTCAGTTTCCAGTTTGGAATTTTCTCAGATGCATTGAGTAAAGATATCGTGGGCGCGTCCTTTGCTGCAAAGTATCTCTATTGCCTCTGGTGGGGATTGAGGAATCTAAGGTACGCATTTTTGTCCCAAAGTATTTCGCTTTTGGACTAGAAGGTTTTGGACATTCCCATTTTTATTATGTTGAGCTGCTCAATTTTGGTGTAGCTTTTTTTTCAGTATTATAGGCAAACTTGGTAGAGTAATTTGTTAAATTTTGGCTAAATATAGGAAACCCCACCTTAACTTTGGACAGTTATCAGATAAACCCACAACTTTCAAAGTTACGATTCACGGTTTTCTGATAAAATCGTAAAGTTAAAGACGTTTAGCAACTGCTGGCTTCGAAGAGCTTGGCCTTTCATGTTTCGGAGCATAGTGAAGAACTGGGTCTTTCACAGTTCCCTTTCATACAGCGAATGTACTTGGGTGACACTACGGGCACACCCCCAACCACAACTCCAACCACACCTCCTCTCTCATTTGCTACAGTGTACCGGGCCCCACGTAGGATTTTAAAAATTTAAAATCCAATGTGGGGCCTGGTGCACTGTAGCAAATGAGAGAGGGGGTGTGGTTAGAGTTGTGGTTGGGGGTGTGCCTCTATCATTTTCCTTTTGCCATCCCTAGTCCTGACTAGTTAGTTCTTTTGTGTCATTCAGCTCGTACGGGCAAAACCTGGCGACCAGCACTTGGGTTGGAGAAACAGCATTTGCTATAGTTATAAGTCTCCTGGGTCTTGTGATATTCTCACACCTGATTGGAAACATGCAGGTAATACTTGTTTTTTTTCCCCTCTTATAATACTTTTTTCTAATCCAAATTTGTTAGGAGCAGTGATCTCATTCTTTTCAACCCAACTTATTTTGCCTGTGGTGTCCTTTGGAACAACTGAACTGAAAGCTATACTTTGTGGATCCTTATATATACTGAAGGAGTTTGGTTAATCAACAGTTGTTTGCATTTTTACCTAATCTGTCTTTTTCTTTTTTGTTGACATGGATGATATTCAATGGAATCTTGATTTCTGATACTACATATCGATATGAGCTTTGATATTTTTATAGAATTGGTGGAGGTGGTTTTGTTGGGGGCCGCTTTCTCTGAGGATCTTCTGTGTATGTATAGTCAGAAAACTGAAACAAGTTTGCTAAGGTTTCCTATGTTTGTATTCATAACTATTTATTTAAGTGGACCCTTTGTCTCATTTTTCCTAGTTACTTCAAATGACACGTAACAAAGCTTTTCTCCTGAATGTTATGTTGGAATTGGCTACACAGGTTACTTGCTGATACTATATATGACTGTGAAGAGTATAATAGCATTTGGGACAAGATATCTATCATATTGTTGAAGAAGAATACTTCCCTAATTAATATGCAATGTCATAACTTCTTGCTAGTTTTCTTTCAACCTTTTTGTTTCCGTTCAAAGTGAAGTTTTATCACATCAAAATTTTCAACTTTCAGACTCATGTTACTTTCAGATGAGGGCAGATTTAGGGGAAATATTTTGTTATATTATGCTTTCATCAGCTAACCTCACCACATTGACGTTTTGATGTGTGTTTTGCATTTATGTGATTCTAGAATACCCAAGAATTGAAGGATCTTAGGACAGTTATAACGTCAGCATTGCTTTTAAGGTCAGAACCATTGGCAATCAAGAATCATAAAATAATGAGGCAAATGCAGCTGGTGTGAGAACATCGAGATGGATGAATGACAATACACTAAGATAAGAAATGAGTATATGCATAGGATAGTGGGGGCTGGTTCCCTTGAAGATAAAATGAGGAAAACCAATTCGGATGGTTTGGTCATATCATATGCACAGAGAATGCGAATAAGTATGTTCTTAGGGCTGCTGCAGTCATAATAAATGGAGCTAATAGGGCTATAGGCAGAACTAACAGGATATCATAGTTGCCGATTTAACTAAGAACATGACTCGTAGCAAAGCTGAAGGAAATCATTTGCATAATCAACCCTATATTTGCCATGAAAGACTACTGAGTCAGAAGAGTGAGTGTTGACAGTTGTAAAAGGCTACCATTGAGTTACTAACGGAATGCGGAATATCACTAAGGCTTAAGAATTCGTATTATCAAATAGTTCATGTTATCAGGTGCAGTTTTTAACAGAGGATATGTTGGCCCTTAAAAGCTGAAAGGAAAAAAGGATTCAGGTAGCAACCCGAAAAGTTGGGATGAAGGCCTTGTTTTTTGTTCTTCTTGTCATTGTTGTAATCTATGCGATGTTATAAATTTGAAAATAATAATGATTTATCAGTCTAAACAATCTCGATGTTTGTTCTTACCAACAAATTTATACTGTGGGCCAACCTGCGATTGATCCACACTGCTCATCGTGATTTAGATGTTACGAAATCTACATGGATAGACAATTATGTGTTCTATAGATTTCTGACATCTCATCTAAGCTTGCAAAGCAATTGGTTATTCAATATATAACAAAAAGGAAACTTTCATGATAGCTTATAACGTAAAGTGTTATTTGGCATTAGGGTTACTGCAGGTCAGTGTAAGAATCAAGGCATTTTTCTCAGCAGAGTAACTTGAATTTAAAGATCT